TCTCTCTCCCCCCCCCCCCCCCCCCCCCCCCCGCCCCCCCCCCCCCCGGGGGGCGCCCGCCCCCCCCCCCCCCCCCCCCCCCCCCCGGCCCTGACCTGACGACGCTGATGTGGAACCGGTCCTCGGGCAGCGCCCTCCAGGCTCCGGGCAGGAACTCCTTGCACCACAGATAGGCCTTGCGGCGGGTGCGGGGATCGGGGGCCTCGTCCTCGGCCGCGTCCTCGGGCTCGTCCGGCTCCTCGTCCCGCTCGGGCGCCGGCAGCGGCGGCGGCGGCGGCGGGCAGCAGGGGCCTCCCCCTCCCCCCCCGCCGCCGCCGCCGCGCTCCTCGGCCTCGAGCACGGCCTCCGCGTCGCGCTGCTGCGCCGGCCCCCCGCCGGGCGTGGGGGCGCCCCCTCCCCCGCCCCCCCCGCCCCCCCCGCAGCTCAGCAGCAGCCCCAGGGGCGACGGCTCGGCTTCGCCGCCGTTACAGAACTTGGTCTTCATGCCGCCTGAGCGGAGCGGGCCGGGGCGAGGGTTCGGGGCCGGGGGCGGCGCACAAAGGGGCCGCGGCGCAGCGCGGGGAGGCCGGCCGGCCTGCGGGAGGGGCGTGGGGGGCCTCGGCCGCAGCCTCGGGCTCGGACTCGGCGGCCGGAGGGGCCGGCGGGGGCGGCGGGGGCGGCGGCGGGAGCGGGAGCGGGAGCTGAGGCGGGAGCCCAGGCTGAGGCCGAAGCGCGGTCCGCGGCGGTCGGCGCGTCTGAGGCGCTCGCGGGCTCGGCGCTGCCTACACCTCCCGGCGCGCGGCACGAGGAGCCCCCGCCGCCCGCGACGTCACAGCCCGCCCGCGCCCATTGGTGCCCGCGAGACAGGCCCCGCCCCGGAGCCCGCCTCGCAACCAACGGCCGGCCGGCACCGGCGAGGAGGCGGGGAGAGCTCGGGCCCCGCCCCCCGGCGCCTCGGGCCCCCTCCCCGCTGGCCGCAGCCGGCGGGGAGGGGCGGGGGGACCGAGGAGGGGAGAGGAGAGGAGAGGGGAGAACGGAGTCGGGCGGCGGGGCGAGGGGGCCAGGCTGGGTGGCTAAGGTGGAGGGGAAAGGGAGACGGAGGAACAGGTGGAGGGGAACCCGGAGTGGGCGGGGCGAGGCAAGAAGAGGGGAACAGGTGGAGGAGGAGACCCGAAAGCAGGGGCTGGGAGGGGAGGGGTTAGCGGAAGGGAAGGCTGAAAGGAGAGGGGGAGGGGAGGAGGAGAAGGGACCCGGGGCTAGAGGGGAGGGAGGGGTTAGGCGGAGGAGAAGAAGGAGAAAAGGCCAGGAGGGGAAGAGGGAAAC